TGCGGGGCCTGGGGCCGACGGGAGCGGCGGCGGCGCGGGCGGGCGACGGGCCGGCCGCGCTCCAGGCGCTGCGGCCTCCGCCTCCTCGGCGTCGTCGTTGGGACTCCGGCAGCGGACGCGGCGCCCGCCGGCTCGACTCGGCTCGCTCTCAAAATGGCGGCGGCGTGAAGTGTCACATCCGCATGGGGGGCCCGAGAGCGAGCGAGCAAGCGAGGAGAGCGGGCGGGCGGCGCAGGGAGCAGGCGGGCAGGCGCCGAGCCGGAGGGCGGAGCGGGAGCGGGAAGGCGGTGCGGGGAGGCGGAGCAGGGAGCGCCCCGCCCACCGCCGCCGCCGCCACCGCCTCCTGGGTCCGCCCGCCTGCCCGCCCGCGGCCCGCAGCGCCGCGCCCCCCGTGCCCCTCGCCCAGCCCGCCTCGGCCTCTCGCCGGGTGCCCGTCCTCGGTGCCCGCCCGGAGCCTCGCGGCCGGGCCCGGGGGCGCTCCGATGTGGGCGACTGGGTGCCCCAGCCCTAGAGGGCGAGTGGCCCGGCAAATGCCCCATCCCGGGCATTTGGTCACCCAGAAAGCCCCTGCGGCCGCCAGTGGTAGGGGCAGAAACCCTGCCCGCAGACGGGTGACCTCGGGCCGGTAGCTGATATCGCCCGTGGACTCCGGAGAAGAAGGCCCGGATCGGAGCGAGCGGCCAGCGCGGATCAGCACTTGCTGGCACTGTTATTTACCCCCTTTAATAAATCTGTAATTTATTCACCCAGTACCTCGCGTACGAGAACTTCTTTTCTCACTATAGCCCAAACCAGAAAACAGGTTTTGGTCCCTCAAAACCAACCCAAATAGCTCTTCCTTTGGCATTAATTTATCCCCTTCATATCAGCCCAGTCTGGCTAAGCTCCTTCACCCAGGGCCTCCCTCATTCCCGATCCTTGAGAGACCGGTGATTGGGGTCTCAACTTTTTGATAAGAACCAAGGCAATGTGGATAAAGAAGAGAATGGAAGAAAAGAATACACATCTCTACATAGGTGCACCTCTAAGTGACCGTCTCAAGGGAGAATATAATTTTGCCCCCAAATGACCAAGAAATTGTGATTCGTATCCCACTTTCTATCTCCCTATCTCCCGTCCCTGCATTTTTCTCCAGTTTTCTCCACTTTATTCACTGTCCGTCTCCCCGTCCAGAAAAGAATGTTTTGTGCACTGTGGTATCCCAGATGCCTGGGACATAGCAAGTACTCAATACGTATTTGTTGAATGAATGTATGATTCAAGTGTGACTATGATTCCGCTCCCTTCCACCCCCCCCCCCCAGCATTTCATACACTTAAATGTTTCCCCCCAGTGAATTTCTTGCTGGACCAAAGCAGTGAGCAGACAAGAGGGAAGGAGCTACTTCACCAGGAATCAATCCCAGCCCCTGGGTCACCCCCAGATTCTGAAGAGGTGTTGTTATTCACACAGATTCTCACAAATGCTAATGAACAGTTCTCAGATGCAAAAGAATCCTTCTCTCCAGCTCTCTAGAGACTTGGGGGAGGGCAGAAAGGACTGCTCTGGCAAAGGAAGGGGTGGCAGGGAGTGATAAAGGTGCCTATCGGGTTCCACACTGGCCAACCTTATCTTCATCACTAGGTTCAAAACCAACCAGGGAATTAAAAAGAATAAGAGTAAAAAGAATACCTCGCACGATGGATAAATTAAATGTTGTACACCCAATACAATAAAATACTGTTTGGCAATGAAGAATGGATGAGGCTTGAAAACACTGTGCTGAGTAAAAGAAGCCAGACAGAAAAGATCTTATAGTGTATGATTCCAATTACATGAAATGTCCAGAACAGGAAAATCAACCTATAGAGATGTGAGATAGATTAAGGACTGGACGGTTAAGGGTTTGGGAGTGACTGCTAGTAAGTACAGGATTTCTTTTGGGGGTGATGAAAATATCCTAAATCTGATTCTGGTGATGGTTGCACAACTCGGCGTATATACTAAAAACTATTGAACTGTGCACTTTAAATGGGTAAATTACGTGGTATGTGTCAGATCTCAATACAATTAATTTGTTTTGTTTTGCTTTTTTATAAATTATTAATTTATTTAATTTTGGCTGCATTGGGTCTTCATTGTTGTGCGCAGGCTTTCTCTAGTTGTGGCCAGTGGGGGGCTACTCTTCATTGCGGTGCGCAGGGTTCTCATTGCGGTGGCTTCTCTTGTTGCGGAGCACAGGCTGTAGGCGCACGGGCTTCAGTACTTGTGGCACGCAGGCTCAGCAGTTGTGGTGCGCAGGCCCTGGAGCTCAGGTTCAGTAGTTGTGGTGCACGGGCTTAGTTGCTCTGTGGCATATGGGATCTTCCCGGACCAGGGCTCAAACCCGTGTCCCCTGCATTGGCAGGCGGATTCTTAACCACTGCGCCACCAGGGAAGTCGCCAACTAATTCTTTTCAAAAGATGAGAATGAGTGAGGAAGACCAGAGTGGAAGCTGTTCATACTCTAGATGAGAGTTGGAGATGGACTGGGGGTGGGGTTGGGGGTGGAGATGGAGCAAACGGGTTAGTATGTAGGCAGGTCAAATTGCTGAGAGCCTGGAACTGAGTGGGAGGGAAGAGAGAAGAATCAAGCATCGCTCTCAGATTTCTGGCTTGAGCAACTGGGTGAATGATGGTGCCAGTTACTAACATGGGGGAGAAGTCTGGGGGCGGCACAGGTTTGGAAGTAAAATTAAGAGTAAGTTTCTTTTGGCTTCATTTTGGGGAGTTTGTTGTTTTTATTTGTATTTTTGCTTTTTTTGGACTGTATTATATTTGAGATGCCTGTTAGACATTATCCATACAGAGGTGGTAAGGAGTTAGTTCAACAGGAGTCTGGGCTAGAGGTAAAGATGTGTGGAGATGGTATGAGAGCCTGGAGGCCACCTAGGGAGGTGGGGATAGAGCAGATTTGGGCCATAGTCAGAGGCTGATACAAAGAGGGACCAGCAAAGCAGACTGTCTCAAGTATAGGCCCCTCACCCATCCACCCAGTCACTCCATCCTGGGACCTGGTTTACTTTTTCATAGTACTTACCAGCATTTTCTTTCTCTTTCATTTAGTTTCTTTTCTTTTTCTTTCTTTCTCTTTCTCCCTCTCTCTCTTTCTTTCTCTCTCTCAGTGCAGCTTGTGGGATCTCAGTTCCCGGACTAGGGATCAAACCTCGGCCCTCGGCAGTGAAAGTCCCCGGTCCTAACCACTGGACCACATTTTGAATAACTGTTTACATAGCATAGTATGCAGAGTTCTACAAGGGACTTTCAACCTAGATCCTACTCCTACGATTGCATTCTCTTACGCTGATGAAATTAAGGTTAGTAATCAGTCGAGTTTAAGTAGAGAGACCATCTGGTTTGGCCCAACCTAATCATATTGGTCTTCTAATAGCAGAGTTTTCTCTGGTGGCAGAAGAGGAAGGCAGAGATGTGACAGATGAGAGGAGGTTCTCTGGTATTGGGATGTAGGGAGCCACGTGGAAGGATCTGAGAGTAGCCCCTACAGGCTAAGGGGGCATTCCCAGCCACCAGCCTGAAAACGGGGGCCTTGAAACTAAATTCTGCCAGTCTGAATGAGGTAGCCCTTCCCTGGAGCTGTCAGAGAGCCCACCCCTTGGCTTTGGCCTGGTGAAGCCCAAGAGGAGAGCCCATTGGAGCTGGCCTGGTCTTCTGATCTACAAAACTATGAGATCATACATGGGTGCTGTTTTCCACCTCTAAGTTTGTGATAACTTATTACACAGCAATAAAAAATGAACATGCATAACTAATGTGTCCCCTCCTACAAGCATCTTGATGAGAGAAACTGTCTTTCTCACAGTTCTGTCCTCAGCACCTAGCACAGTGCCTGGCACATAGCAGATGCTCAGTAAAGGTTGAATGAATGCTTTCACCTCAGCTGATGCTAACTGCTTGCTAGGAGCTAGGGGCTGTCTGGGATATAAAGGTAGAAAAGAGTGCCTGCGTGCTTTAAAGGCTTCTCAGATGGATTTTCATAGGGATTCAATAACAGCACTTATTTTCTCTTTTCCTGCCTTGCCCATCTTTCAAGGAGGAGTGGATGACAGGTGGAGAAGTTATTCCTAGGCCACCATGGCTACTAGAAAAGCAAGACCAGGAATCCCCTGGTGGTCCAGTGGTTGTGACTCCGTGCTTTCACTGCCGAAGGCCCAGGGTTCAATCCCTGGTGGGGGAAGTAGGATCCCCCAAGCCAGGTGACCAGAAAAAAGGGCAAGACCAGTGCACTTTGAGGCCTACCAAGAAGGCCCAGACTCAATTATTCCAGAGGGTTGTGCTAGCCTGTTTTCTTCTTCCCCTGGTGGAATTATAAAACCCATTTGCGGGCTTCCCTGGTGGCGCAGTGGTTAAGAATCCGCCTGCCAATGCAGTGGACATGGGTTCGAGCCCTGGTCCGGGAAGATCCCACATGCCCCGGAGCAAATAAGCCCGCGCAACACAACTACAGAGCCTGCGCTCTAGAGCCCGCGAGCCACAACTACTGAAGCCTGCGCGCCTAGAGCCCATGCTTTGCAACAAGAGAAGCCACCGCAATGAGAAGCCTGCGCACCGCAACGAAGAGTAGTCCCCGCTCGACGCAACTAAAGAAAGCCTGTGTGCAGCAACAAAGACCCAATGCTGCCAAAATTAATTAATTAATTGAAAAAAAAAACAACCATTTGCACACAGAAGGGGTACTTGGGGAAGAACTCTGCAGAAGTGTATCAGCTGCGTAATGCCTACTTCCTGGGAGGTTTAATGCCAAGATGCCTCAAAGGATCTGTTAGAGAACTCCAAAGGGCAAGAGGATTTAGGGCACTATTTCTTTTTTATATAAATTTATTTATTTATTTGTTTATTTTTGGCTGCATTGGGTCTTTGTTGCTTTGCGCAGGCTTCTCATTGTGGTGGCTTCTCTTGTTGCAGAGCATGGGCTCTAGACACGCGGACTTCAGTAGTTGTGGCTCACAGGCCCTAGAGCACAGGCTCAGTAGTTGTGGTGCATGGGCCTAGTTGCTCCGTGGCATGTGGGATACTCCCGCACCAGGGCTCGAACCCGTGTCCCCTGCATTGGCAGGCAGACTCTCAACCACTTCACCACCAGGGAAGCCCCTAGGGCACTATTTCTGATCACTGCTAATTTTTAGAAATTTCACAACCCCTGCCCTGGTTCCAAAACCAGTGACCAGAGGAAGAGACAGAAAACTGGGGAGACAAGAACCGCTGGACCATCTGCCTTGTCATTAGGTAGAGCCAAGTAGGGAGGGGCGCCACCCTATCATTACTCTCTGAGCAAAACATATTTTGCTGCTCCCAGGGCCCATGCCATGACTCGGCATAAACAGCCGGTTCGTTTTTCTTCTTGAGACCCAAAATATTTATCTACCTGGAAGCTATGTTTTGGTCAGGGTCTAAAACAACTTAATGGAAATAGGAATCAGAGGCACTTTTCTTCCAGTATAACTAAGTTATAATCCATACCTGGAAAGACAACCTAACCCCCAAACCACAAGGTTAGTGAGGATGTGGGCTTAGAGATAAGGCATTTGGCCAAGGTCATGCCGCTGTAAACAGTTTGGGAGGGTAAGAGGCTTTAGGATGCAAACCAGATGATCTGGGTTCCATAGAGGGGTCCTGCAAACTCGTACTTGGGAAATTGACTTAACCTCTTTGAACTCAACATTCTTATCAGGGAAATGGGGAGGGCAGTTTCTACCTAAAGTGGCTGTTAAGGAACTACTTTCCCATCCAGAAATTGTGAGATGGTTCTTGTAAGAGAGAGAATGAGATGAGACCCCAGGCCTTCCCCATTCCTGACCCACCATTGTTTCACTCAAAACGATTCCTAGGGCTTCCCTGGTGGCGCAGTGGTTGAGAGTCCACCTGCCGATGCAGGGGACACGGGTTCGTGCCCCGATCCGGGAAGATCCCACATGCCCGGAGCGGCTGGGCCCGTGAGCCATGGCCGCTGAGCCTGCGCGTCCGGAGCCTGTGCTCCACAATGGGAGAGGCCACAATAGTGAGAAGCCCGTGTACCGCAAAAAAAAACGATTCCTAGGCTGAGCACCCACTACGTGCCATGGACAGGGACGGGGCTGCCTGAGGTTAAACAAATGGCAAAAATGACCACAGGGGTGGCTAATTAGGTCAAGTGGCCAACATTCTTCTGGGCTGTGAGCCGGCAAAACCTTAATGTCCTTAAAGCAAGGTCTTTTCTAGAATGACTGCTTATGGTTAGCCAGGTGTGCTGTAGATACTGGGGTCTTGTATACTTTTTTAAAAAACAGCTCAGGGACTTCCCTGGTAGCTCAGTGGTTAAGAATCCGCCTGCCAATGCAGGGGACACGGGTTCGAGCTCTGGTCCGAGAAGATCCTACATGCCGCAGAGCAACTAAGCCCATGTGCCACAACTACTGAGCCTGTGTGCCACAAATACTGAAACCCAAGCGCCTAGAGCCCGTGCTCCACAACAAAGAGAAGCCACTGCAGTGAGAAGCCCGCACACCACAACAAAGAGTAGCCCCAGCTCGCTGCAACTAGAGAAAGCCCACGTGCAGCAATGAAGACCCAACACAGCCAAAAATAAATAAACACATAAATTTAAAGGGCAATGAACTCTATATTTGGCTAATATCAGGCTAGAAGTTTGTCACATAGTGCACATTCTTGACAGAATTTTCTTAGCACGAATTGTAAACCAAATAATAAGCACTCCTCAAAGAGCCAGGTAACATGCTTTATGTTGAGTATCTGAATCCCCACAACCAGGTAAGAACAGTAGTAATTTCTCGTGTTTACTGAGCGCTTCCTTGTGGCAGGCACGGGGCCAAGGGTGTACAGCAACTCATTTGTTTAATCCTCTCAACTGCCCTGTGATCTAAAACTGTCATGCACCCCTCTTTACAGGGGAGGATACCAAGGCACAAAGAGGGCAGGTGCGCAAAGTCTCAGAGGTAATAAAAACAAGGGAAGGGTTTCTTAATATAGGTTAAGCACAGACTTAGCAGACGAGTGACCCAGCTATGTACCCAACAGAATGGAAAACAGGTTCTCAAAAGCTTGTACACAAATGTTCATAACAGCACAAAGCACAATAGGTAAAAGGTGGAAACAACCCAGATGTCTATGGACAGATGAATAGGTTAACCAAAGGTGGTATATCCTACAATGGAATTTTACACAGCCACTAAAAAGGAAGCGCTGATACCTGCTACGAAACGAATAAACCTTGAAAACATTAACACTGAGTTAAAGAAGCCAGCCACAAAAGGCCACATGTTGTATGATTCCATTCATACGAAATATGCAGAATGGTCAAACTCAGACACAGAAGACAGATTAGTGGTTGCCAGGGGCTGGTTATGGGGGTAGAGAGAGTGGCTACTTAATGGATACAGGGTTTTGGGGAGTGGGGTAATGAAAATATTCCAGAAATAGTGGTGATGATTGCATAACATGGTGAATGGATGACATGTCATCAATGGTAAATTTTATTTTCTGTACTTTACTATAATAAAAAGAATAACAAGGTAAAGATTTGAGCCAGAGTATCCTCTCATCCCATAGCATATGCCTCTAACCACTATGCCATGCTTTACATTCTGTTAGAAGGTATTATTGTTCTCATTTTACAGATGGGGAAACTGAGGCATGGCGAGGAGATGGTGAAAATGGGATTCACACTTAGCTCTGCCTGTCTCAGAAGTCGAGCCTAAGAGCTGCCTCCCAAGGACAGGGAGCTCCTGGCTTTGGATGGGTTCAGCCATTTAGGGCTCTCCTGTGCACTGTAGGATGTTTAGCTGCATCCCTGGTCTACCCACTGGATTCCTATAGCAACTGTGACAAACAAAAATGCTTCCAGAACTGGCACTGGGTTGTTCAATGACTCAACTTACTTTTCTATTAATAAGCCTAAAAATAAACTGCTGACTTGGAAAATTATTTTCAAAGACATTTGAAAATGAGGGTGGAGAATATCTATGTGTTAAAAGTAAAATTCATTTAACCTCACACTTAGTCATTCATTCATTCTTTCAACAAATATTGGCCAAACACCTTTCCTGGCCCGCATACTCAAGGTCTGGATGGATGAAGAAAAAAAGAAATCTTGCTTTAAGGCAGTAATCTGGGTCCCCTGGCTGATGAGGCTGGCTCATCCTTCCAGCTGGAAATGCCCTTTCTCAGAACCCCTCTCTCCCATCTCTTAGGACTCTTAGACACAGAGCACAGCTAAGCTACGGGGCTCTACGGCCGGTCAGGAAGTAGTTCTTTCCTTCCATAGCCCTTGCTCAGGAAATATTTTTGATTGAATCAACGAATACACGTGCTGGCAATAGGCAGATTTCTTGCACCACTGTTAGGAGTGCAGTAACTGTTGCAAGCAGCAACTGGATTTCATCTGCCAGATGGGAACTCAGGGAATTTAAATTAATTAAAATAATGGCATTTGATATCAAGGTTGATAGGGAAAGAGTCTCAGGTTCTGAGGGCAACAAACCAGCTTGAGAACACCAAGGTCCCTTTCGTGTTAAAGAAAATTACACACAAAAAAGGGACAACGTTTATTAAGCATTTACTACATGCCAGGTACCCTGGTGAGTGTTCTACCTCTATTTTTTCTTTAAATAGTCCAGAACCTCCAAAGACTTAATACAGAAAGATATCCTATATTAATAACTACCATATTTCTTTAGAAAGTAGTTTTTATTCACAAATAATCTCTGCTCCTCCCTGGCATGTCTACCAAAGTAAAGCAGAAAGGGAATTCTTTTTTTTAAATAAATTTATTATTTATTTATTTTTGGCTGCGTTGGGTCTTTGTTGCTGCATGCGGGCTTTCTCTAGTTGCGGTGAGTGGGGGCTACTCTTTGTTGCAGTGCAGGGCTTCTCACTGCGGTGGCTTCTCTTGTTGCAGAGCACGGCTCTAGGCACGTGGGCTTCTGTAGTTGTGGCACACGGGCTCAGCAGTTGTGGCTTGCGGGCTCTAGAGCACAGGCTCAGTAGTTCTGGCGCACGGGCTTAGTTGCTCTGTGGCATGTGAGATCTTCCCGGACCAGGGCTCGAATTGTGTCCCCTGCATTGGCAGGCGGATTCTTAACCATACGCCACCAGGGAAGCCCCTGGGAATTCTTGTCTATACTTCAAGTATCTACATTTTGAGAGAGCCTTTTGAATTTCTTTAAACATCAACAATAGTATTTTTAAGTGGCAAAGAACCATGTGCTTCAGGATTTGGTGTTACTGAGATATTTTTTCTCACAATAAGAAAAATCAAGGCCTAGAGAAAAAGTGACCTTTTACCCGAGTCCTAATTTAACCACTTTGTACTTGTTTTTTATTTATTATTATTCAGAGGTTAATTCTGCTATTGACTTGAAGTAACTTCCCAAGAAAATGAGTGCAAGAGGGCAGTGGTAAAATACAGTTAAGACAGAATTAAATTCTTAGATACCCTAAGAGTAGAAATTCAAAAGAAGATGGCAGAGAAAACAAATCTTCAATTAATAAATCTACATGATTGCTATAGCCCTGCTTCAAATGTTGCATTTAATTAACTGGGCCAAATTTAAATTGAACTGCCCTGATTCTCTAGGAGAATGACTGTCATTCCGGAGTCGTGTTTTTTTTTTTTTTTTTAATCAAACGATGCCACAAACATATCTGGAACACCTACTAAGTTGGTCATTACCCTAAACATAGGAGCCATTTATGTTAGATCATTTCTGTTGTTACTTATCGACTCTGATTTGCTTTATCAATTGAAAAACAAGTATGTTTGTATCTCTATTACATTCAAGGCATGGAAGAGGGTGGAAAGTGGTTTGGGCTTTTTCGGTTTCACTTGAACTTATGATGTTACCTGGCTTGTTTCATTTCGCCTTCATGTAACAACTTGACTTTTGTGTGTTTAGCCACAATACTGTGCACAAGAAAATTAACAGTGGTTTCCTTGGAGGAAGTGGGGGGATTCTGTGTCTACTTTTGACTTTACTTTTCCACAGGAATTAGTAAACTATGGTCCGTGGACCAAATATGGAAGCACTTGTTTGTAAACATAACTTTTATTGCAGGGGGTAAAGTAGAGGAGGGATAAATTGGGAGATTGGGATGGACATATACATACTACTGTATATAAAATAGATAACTAGTAAAGACCTACTGTATAGCACAGGGAACTCTACTCAATACTCTGTAATGGCCTATTAGGGAAAAGAATCTAAAAAAGAGTGGATATATGTATATGTGTAACTGATTCACTTTGCTGTCACCTGAAACTAACACAACATTGTAGATCAACTGTATGCCAATAATTTTTTTTTAATTTTGCATATTAAAAAAAATAAGTTTTATTGGAACACAGCATTCATTCATGTATGTATTGTCTATGGCTGCTTTCACCCTATAAAGGCAGGATTAGAAGCTGCAATAAAGACCAGAGGTCATATGGCCTGCAAAGCCAAAAGTACTTACTATCCGGCCCTTAATGGAAAGTGTGTCAATTCCTGCTGTACTGTTTGAATTTTTTTTGAATCATGTGCATATAATACTGTAATAATAACATTTGGAGGAAATACACATCAAAACTATATAGCATTCGAGCAGAGCTACAGGGAACCTCTGAGATGAGAAGGCTGAGACCCCAGGGCTCAGGAGCGGGTCGGTGGTAGGGAGTCCAGGTGGCCCTTATCTGAGACTTCCACCCTTGTACCATTTTTCTTGGTTGTTTCATCTGGTACGATGGGTTCCCAGGTTCAGCCAGAGCTGGTGCCATGGAACACCTCCTCTTGTCCCCTTTCTCCCCCAGGGTCACCAGAACTTCTCTAGCACGTTCTGATCCACATTATACAAGTCACCCCAAAGCAGTTTCTCCGCGCATGTCCCAGGAGCTTCAGCATCTCCATCCCAGGAAAGGCTTGTTAAACATCCTGCCTGGGACTTCCCTGACAGTCCAGTGGTTAAGACTCTCCACTTCTACTGCAGGGGGCGCGGGTTCAATCCCTGGTTGGGGACGTAAGGTCCCTCATGCCTCTCAGTGCGGCCAAAAATACATCCTGTACCAGGAAGACTCTTTCAAGTAGGTTTAGGGTGAGACTGGGGCTGGGCATTTTTCCGTGCCCCACCGGCAGTGCTGACTCACACCCTTGGCAGCCTGTTGTGCTTTGCTGGTGTCCAGCATCCCCACCCTCACCCCACGGTGGACAAAGCCCAGTCTTACAGTTACAACAGCTCTGATGTGGTGGGCACTCACGTGCCAGGCTCCTGAGTGCCAGGCTCCATCCTGAGTGCTTCTCATGCATTCATTTACATGTCCTGACAACCCCAGCAGCGGAGCCATGCTTGTAGTTGTCCAGTGTGTGTATCGTACAAAGCGTGGGGCAGCAGATCAGTGTCGGGAAGGGGCAGGGAGAAGGAGGAGTCAACTACGGGGCTGGGGGGATGTGGAAGAATTTTTAAGGTGTTCATTTTGATAGTGGGGGAGGGGGATACATGACCCTATGCATCTGCAAAACTGATAGAACCTCACCAAGAGTGAACTTTATTGGGGCTTCCCTGGTGGTGCAGTGGTTAAGAATCTGCCTGCCAATGCAGGGGACACAGGTTCGAGGCCTGGTCCGGGAAGATACCACATGCTGCGGAGCAGCTAAGCCCTATGCGCCACAACTACTGAGCCTGTGAGCCACAACTACTGAGCCCATGTGCTACAACTACTGAAGCCTGCACGCCTAGAGTCCGTGCTCTGCAACAAGAGAAGCCCACGCACTGCAACGAATCTCTGCAACTAGAGAAAGCCCGCGCGCAGCAACAAAGACCCAAAGCAGCCAAAAATAAATAAAATAAATTTATAAAAAAAGAAAAAAGAGGGCTTCCCTGGTGGCGCAGTGGTTGAGAGTCCGCCTGCTGATGCAGGGGACGCGGGTTCGTGCCCCGGTCTGGGAGGATCCCGCATGCCGCGGAGCGGCTGGGCCCGTGAGCCATGGCCGCTGGGCCTGCGCGTCCGGAGCCTGTGCTCTGCAACGGGAGAGGCCACAACAGTGAGAGGCCCGCTTACCGCAAAATTAAAAAAAAAAAAAGAGTGAACTTTATTGTAAACAAATTTTTTAAAAAATCAAGCGGGATATTGGGGGATCCTAGGACGGAATGCAGACAGTAACAAGTGAATCTATATCGCAAGTGTTCGACATAACCTCATTGAAGGGGGTGGGAGAAAACAGGAGCTGACACATGACTTTGGAAAATGGTATTTTTAATGGAAAATATAAAGCTAAAATCAAAGCACTGGGGACTTCCCTGGTGGCACAGTGGTTAAGAATCCGCCTGCCAATGCAGGGGACACGGGTTTGAGCCCTGGTCCGGGAAGATCCCACATGCTGTGAAGCAGCTAAGCCCGTGCACCACAACTACTGAGCCCACGTGCCTCAACTAACTGAGCCCACATGCCACAACTACTGGAGCCTGTGCACCTAGAGCCCATGCTCCGCAATGAAGAGTAACCCCCGCTCGCCACAACTAGAGAAAGTTCGCACACAGCAACAAAGACCCAATGCAGCCAAAACTAATAAATAAATAAATAAATAAATAAATAAATTAATTAATTAAAGCACTCTACGTTAAAAAAAACAAAACAAAACACTGGGCTGAAATCCAGGCTAAGAACCCCTGGCCAAATTTGCTTCTGGCAACAAAGGCTCCCCTGCCCTGGGATGAGACGGGTGTCTGTCAAGAGAGGCACTTCTTAATTCGAGCAAAGGGTCTGTGTAGGCTAGTCCTGGCCCTGCCTGTGATTGGGAGCTATTACCCCATTTTACAGATGAGGAGGCCAAGACAGGAGGTTAACTGGCCCAAGAACTAGTCCAATAAAGTGTCATTTCACCTCTGGAAACAACTCAAAATGTCCATCAACTGATGAATGGATAAATAAAAGTGGCATATCCTACCATGGAATATTATTCAGCCATTAAAAGGAATTACACACTGACACACGCTATCTTAATGAACCTTGAAAACAATATGT